GTGTATTGCACTTATTTTATACCATTTAATGAAATATATATATATGAAATATATATATATATATATATATATATATATATCAAAGGTTCTTTGAAGTAATGGATAAATGATCCAGGATTGAGGAGAAGTTTCATTCAAATAAAAAATACATTCTCTTATGGGATAATATATTTTGTGTTCCAAATTCAATTAAACTTCTTCTTCTTCATCTCTCCTTTTATTTTTAAATATTAGGTCAGACTGGGTTCTATAGCCTTGGATGGCAACTGGTCTAGGAGGACAACTCTTTGAATTCAAAACCTGTGAAGGGTCATTTGGGAACCTTGTGGCCCGTGGTGCACCAAGTCTCGTATTTGACTCTTCAAAAAGTGTTGGTTGGTTCTGCACAAAGACTTCACCCACTATAATCAAATTATATGTGCTGGTGTCTGGCTGTTGGTTCCCAAGAACGTCGAATACAACGGTAGAGTGGATATATATATATATATATATATATATATATAATGAAGTATTTAGTGGAAAATGCTCAATATCCGTGATACAGTTAGCTCTATCACGGATATTGAGTACTTTCCACTATATACCGCGTTTAATATATATATATATATATATATATATATATATATATATATTGTAATAATTTAAAAAACTGCTTTTTTGAGGCCGAAATTTTTGAGTGATTTGTTGATAAAGAGGAATTTAAAGCACGAAATTTCAAAGTAAACATTAGGTAAGTGAAAAAAAATTATATATATATATATGTGTGTGTGTGTGTGTGTGTGTGCGTTTTAATCGTGCTCACTTCAAGCAAGGCAATAAAGCCACTAGGATGAAAAAGGTTACTTGGTGTGAAAGAATTAGAAACAGAAACATTACTAACGAGCGAGAAAAAAAAGAAGAGTAATCAGGAGGACAGCAGATAGCGATAGACATTGCATTTAAATTTTTGAAGATTAAAGTTGGCTAGAAAGCATGTAGCCGGGAGGGAGTTCCACAAATGAGAAGTGGCAGAAAAGAAGCTGTTAGTATAGAACCTACGGTTACATCAAGCTAATTCAACTGTGATTTGCTGACGCCAGTCTAGTACCGCACTTAAATTTAAAAAAAAGCCTAGACAGAAATAGTGAAGAGCTCATACGGACAATTACTATGAAAGTATTTATAGGAAAGGTACGAGGAGGCAACCTTACGGAGGTGAGAAAATGACTGAAGCCGAGATACCAGATCAGGACTGGTAATATTGCTGATTCTTCTTTGGATTTTACCAAGGAACTCTAGATAAATAGCAGGGGCACCAGACCATATGTGGCAGCAACATTCTAAGCATAGTCGAATGGTAGATACATAAGATAGATTCTGGAGAGAAAAATATAAATATATTTTCTAACATTTGCTATATTTTTAGAGGAAGAGTACTCAGTATCGGAGATAGAGCGTTTATAGATACAGTCAATGTAGATATAGGAATTAACACTACAAAGCGTGTGCTAGATTAGTAACTAGGTTTCAGTGTTTTATTGTGGAACAGTACAGCCGAATGTCCTATTATAATAGTTTCTTTTCTTGCACTTCTCGTCTATGGAACTCCTTATAGGTGCTATAATTTTAACAGGACGGAAAGATGATTTGGTATTGAGCATTAGGCGAAGTGAGGAAATTTGTTTTCTGCGCAGGAGGATTGCACATATCTTCCGATTAGAAAATGAAAAGAGAAAAAGAATTGAAATATTTCGGTCAATAAGAAGGGTTCATGTCAAAAATTAAAACCGGGTCTCTGGCCCCATAAAAGAAGTCGAAACCTTTAACTGGAGGAAATAAATCCTCCCACAGTGGAACGTGTTATTCTAGGTATCTTTCTTACATCTGATGCCTGTGTGTATCTAGGTATCTTTCTTACATCTGATGCCTGTGTGTATCTAGGTATCTTTCTTACATCTGATGCCTGTGTGTATCTAGGTATCTTTTCTTACATCTGATGCCTGTGTGTATCTGATGTATCTTTTACATCTGATGCCTGTGTGTATCTAGGTATCTTTCTTACGTCTGATGCCTGTGTGTATCTAGGTATCTTTTCACGTCTGATGCCCTGTGTGTATCTAGGTATCTTTCTTCCGTCTGATGCCCGTGTGTATCTAGGTATCTTTCTTACATCTGATGCCTGTGTGTATCTAGGTATCTTTCTTACATCTGATGCCTGTGTGTATACAGGCATCTTTCTTACATCTGATGCCTGTGTGTATCTAGGCATCTTTTCTTACATCTGATGCCTGTGTGTATCCAGGTATCTTTCTTACATCTGATGCCTGTGTGTATCTAGGTATCTTTACATCTGATGCCTGTGTGTATCTAGGTATCTTTCTTCCATCTGATGCCTGTGTGTATCTAGGTATCTTTCTTCCATCTGATGCCTGTGTGTATCTAGGTATCTTTCTTCCATCTGATGCCTGTGTGTATCTAGGTATCTTTCTTACATCTGATGCCTGTGTGTATCTAGGTATCTTTCTTACATCTGATGCCTGTGTGTATCTAGGTATCTTTCTTACATCTGATGCCTGTGTGTATCTAGGTATCTTTCTTACATCTGATGCCTGTGTGTATCTAGGTATCTTTCTTACATCTGATGCCTGTGTGTATCTAGGTATCTTTCTTCCATCTGATGCCTGTGTGTATCTAGGTATCTTTCTTACATCTGATGCCTGTGTATCTAGGTATCTTTTCTTCCATCTGATGCCTGTGTGTATCTAGGTATCTTTCTTCCATCTGATGCCTGTGTGTATCTAGGTATCTTTCTTCCATCTGATGCCTGTGTGTATCTAGGTATCTTTCTTCCATCTGATGCCTGTGTGTATCTAGGTATCTTTCTTCCATCTGATGCCTGTGTGTATCTAGGTATCTTTCTTCCATCTGATGCCTGTGTGTATCTAGGTATCTTTCTTCCATCTGATGCCTGTGTGTATCTAGGTATTTTCTTCCATCTGATGCCTGTGTGTATCTAGGTATCTTTCTTTCCATCTGATGCCTGTGTGTATCTAGGCATCTTTCTTCCATCTGATGCCTGTGTGTATCTAGGTATCTTTTCTTCCATCTGATGCCTGTGTGTATCTAGGGTATCTTTCTTACATCTGATGCCTGTGTGTATCTAGGTATCTTCTTCCATCTGATGCCTGTGTGTATCTAGGTATCTTTCTTACATCTGATGCCTGTGTGTATCTAGGTATTTCTTCCATCTGAGTGTATCTAGGTTCTTTACATCTGATGCCTGTGTGTATCTAGGTATCTTTCTTCCATCTGATGCCCTGTGTGTATCTAGGTATCTTTCTTCCATCTGATGCCTGTGTGTATCTAGGTATCTTTCTTACATCTGATGCCTGTGTGTATCTAGGTATCTTTCTTCCATCTGATGCCTGTGTGTATCTAGGTATCTTTTCCATCTGATGCCTGTGTGTATTCAGGTATCTTTCTTCCATCTGATGCCTGTGTGTATCTAGGTATCTTTCTTACATCTGATGCCTGTGTGTATCTAGGTATCTTTCTTCCATCTGATGCCTGTGTGTATCTAGGCATCTTTCTTCCATCTGATGCCTGTGTGTATTCAGGTATCTTTCTTTACATCTGATGCCTGTGTGTATCTAGGCATCTTTCTTACATCTGATGCCTGTGTATTCAGGTATCTTTCTTCCATCTGATGCCTGTGTGTATCTGCAGGTATCTTTCTTCCATCTGATGCCTGTGTATCTAGGTATCTTTCTTACATCTGATGCCTGTGTGTATCTAGGCATCTTTCTTCCATCTGATGCCTGTGTGTATCTAGGTATCTTTCTTCCATCTGATGCCTGTGTGTATCTAGGTATCTTTCTTCCATCTGATGCCTGTGTGTATCTAGGTATCTTTTCTTCCATCTGATGCCCTGTGTATCTAGGTATCTTTCTTCCATCTGATGCCTGTGTATCTAGGCATCTTTCTTCCATCTGATGCCTGTGTGTATCTAGGTATCTTTCTTCCATCTGATGCCTGTGTGTATCTCCCCATCTTTCTTCCATCTGATGCCCTGTGTATCTAGGTATCTTTCTTCCATCTGATGCCTGTGTGTATCTAGGTATCTTTCTTCCATCTGATGCCTGTGTGTATCCAGGTATCTTTCTTCCCATCTGATGCCTGTGTACTCTAGGCATCTTTCTTCCATCTGATGCCCATGTGTATCTAGGTATCTTTCTTACATCTGATGCCCGTGTGTATCTAGGTATCTTTCTTCCATCTGATGCCTGTGTATCTAGGTATCTTTCTTCCATCTGATGCCTGTGTGTATCTAGGTATCTTTCTCTTACATCTGATGCCTGTGTGTATCTGCATCTTTCTTCCCATCTGATGCCTGTGTGTATCAGGGGTATCTTTCTTTACATCTGATGTATCTAGGTATCTTTCTTACATCTGATGCCCTATTTATCAGGCATCTTTCTTCCATCTGATGCCTGTGTGTATCTAGGCATCTTTCTTCCATCTGATGCCTCTATGTGTATTCAGGTATCTTTCTTACATCTGATGCCTGTGTATTCTAGGCATCTTTCTTCCATCTGATGCCTGTTATCTAGGCATCTTTCTTTACATCTGATGCCTGTGTGTATCTAGGTATCTTTCTTCCATCTGATGCCTGTGTGTATGCAGGTATCTTTCTTACATCTGATTGTGTGTATCTAGGTATCTTTTCATACATCTGATGCCTGTGTGTATCTAGGTATCTTTCTTACATCTGATGCCTGTGTGTATCCAGGTATCTTTCACATCTGATGCCTGTGTGTATCTAGGTATCTTTCTTACATCTGATGCCTGTGTGTATCTAGGCATCTTTCTTACATCTGATGCAGTGTGTATCTAGGTATCTTTCTTACATCTGATGCCCGTCTCCCATCTGCTTCTCTTTCTTACATCTGATGCCTGTGTGTATCTAGGTATCTTTCTTACATCTGATGCCTGTGTGTATCTAGGTATCTTTCTTACATCTGATGCCTGTCATCTATCTATCTATCTTTCTCCCATCTGATGCCTGTGTGTATCTAGGTATCTTTCTTACATCTGATGCCTGTGTGTATCTAGGCATCTTTCTTACATCTGATGCCTGTGTGTATCTAGGTATCTTTCTTACATCTGATGCCCGTGTGTATCTAGGTATCTTTCTTACATCTGATGCCCTGTGTATCTAGGTATCTTTCTTTTACATCTGATGCCTGTGTGTATCTAGGTATCTTTCTTACATCTGATGCCTGTGTGTATCTAGGTATCTTTCTTACATCTGATGCCTGTGTGTATCTAGGTATCTTTCTTCCATCTGATGCCTGTGTGTATCTAGGTATCTTTCTTCCATCTGATGCCTGTGTGTATCTAGGTATCTTTCTTCCATCTGATGCCTGTGTGTATCTAGGTATCTTTCTTCCATCTGATGCCTGTGTGTATCTAGGTATCTTTCTTCCATCTGATGCCTGTGTATCTAGGTATCTTTCTTTACATCTGATGCCTGTGTGTATCTAGGTATCTTTCTTACATCTGATGCATGTGTATCTCCCATCTTTCTTACATCTGATGCCTGTGTGTATCTAGGTATCTTTCTTACATCTGATGCCTGTGTGTATCTAGGTATCTTTCTTACATCTGATGCCTGTGTGTATCTAGGCATCTTTCTTCCATCTGATGCCTGTGTGTATCTAGGTATCTTTCTTCCATCTGATGCCTGTGTATCTAGGCATCTTTCTTCCATCTGATGCCTGTGTGTATCTAGGCATCTTTCTTCCATCTGATGCCTGTGTGTATCTAGGTATCTTTCTTCCATCTGATGCCTGTGTGTATCTAGGTATCTTTCTTCCATCTGATGCCTGTGTGTATCTAGGCATCTTTCTTACATCTGATGCCTGTGTGTATCTAGGTATCTTTCTTCCATCTGATGCCTGTGTGTATCTAGGTATCTTTCTTCCATCTGATGCCTGTGTGTATCTAGGTATCTTTCTTCCATCTGATGCCTGTGTGTATCTAGGTATCTTTCTTCCATCTGATGCCTGTGTGTATCTAGGCATCTTTCTTCCATCTGATGCCTGTGTGTATCTAGGTATCTTTCTTCCATCTGATGCCTGTGTATCTAGGTATCTTTCTTCCATCTGATGCCTGTGTGTATCTAGGTATCTTTCTTCCATCTGATGCCTGGTGTGTATCTAGGTATCTTTCTTCCATCTGATGCCTGTGTGTATCTAGGTATCTTTCTTCCATCTGATGCCTGTGTGTATCTAGGCATCTTTCTTCCATCTGATGCCTGTGTGTATCTAGGTATCTTTCTTTCCATCTGATGCCTGTGTGTATCTAGGTATCTTTCTTCCATCTGATGCATGTGTGTATCTAGGTATCTTTCTTCCATCTGATGCCTGTGTGTATCTAGGTATCTTTCTTCCATCTGATGCCTGTGTGTATGCAGGTATCTTTCTTCCATCTGATGCCTGTGTGTATCTAGGCATCTTTCTTCCATCTGATGCCTGTGTGTATCTAGGTATCTTTCTTCCATCTGATGCCTGTGTATCTAGGTATCTTTCTTCCATCTGATGCCTGTGTGTATCTAGGTATCTTTCTTCCATCTGATGCCTGTGTGTATCTAGGTATCTTTCTTACATCTGATGCCTGTGTGTATCTAGGTATCTTTCTTCCATCTGATGCCTGTGTGTATCTAGGTATCTTTCTTCCATCTGATGCCTGTGTGTATCTAGGTATCTTTCTTCCATCTGATGCCTGTGTGTATCTAGGTATCTTTCTTCCATCTGATGCCTGTGTGTATCTAGGTATCTTTCTTCCATCTGATGCCTGTGTGTATCTAGGTATCTTTCTTCCATCTGATGCCTGTGTGTATCTAGGTATCTTTCTTACATCTGATGCCTGTGTGTATCTTTCTTCCATATCTTTCTTCCATCTGATGCCTGTGTGTATCTAGGTATCTTTCTTCCATCTGATGCCTGTGTGTATCTAGGTATCTTTCTTCCATCTGATGCCTGTGTGTATCTAGGTATCTTTCTTCCATCTGATGCCTGTGTGTATCTAGGTATCTTTCTTACATCTGATGCCTGTGTGTATCATAGGTATAGGCATCTTTCTTCCATCTGATGCCTGTGTGTATCTAGGTATCTTTCTTACATCTGATGCCTGTGTGTATCTAGGTATCTTTCTTACATCTGATGCCTGTGTGTATCTAGGCATCTTTCTTACATCTGATGCCTGTGTGTATCTCAGGTATCTTTCTTCCATCTGATGCCTGTGTGTATCTAGGTATCTTTCTTCCATCTGATGCCTGTGTGTATCTAGGTATCTTTCTTCCATCTGATGCCTGTGTGTATCTAGGTATCTTTCTTCCATCTGATGCCTGTGTGTATCTAGGTATCTTTCTTCCATCTGATGCCTGTGTGTATCTAGGTATCTTTCTTACATCTGATCTGATGCCTGTGTGTATCTAGGTATCTTTCTTCCATCTGATGCCTGTGTGTATCTAGGTATCTTTCTTCCATCTGATGCCTGTGTGTATCTAGGTATCTTTCTTCCATCTGATGCCTGTGTGTATCTAGGTATCTTTCTTCCATCTGATGCCTGTGTGTATCTAGGTATCTTTCTTACATCTGATGCCTGTGTGTATCTAGGTATCTTTCTTCCATCTGATGCCTGTGTGTATCTAGGTATCTTTCTTCCATCTGATGCCTGTGTGTATCTAGGTATCTTTCTTCCATCTGATGCCTGTGTGTATCTAGGTATCTTTCTTCCATCTGATGCCTGTGTGTATCTAGGTATCTTTCTTCCATCTGATGCCTGTGTGTATCTAGGTATCTTTCTTCCATCTGATGCCTGTGTGTATCTAGGTATCTTTCTTCCATCTGATGCCTGTGTGTATCTAGGTATCTTTCTTCCATCTGATGCCTGTGTGTATTCGAGTTTTTACCAACTCCACCTCCAATGATATCTGTATTACATTACCTCTAAGAATAAAAAAAGGGAACTTGTTGGGGATGTGCAGAATTTATTAATTATAATTGAGAGAATCAGAAGGAATTTGTGTAGGTTGCGTGACTTTCTCCAGCCACCAAAAAAATAAATAAACGAATTTTAAATACGATCAAAAACAAGACATTCAATTTAGAAACCAATAAAACATTTATATACAATTCAAAGTAATATACATACAGGATATTTGGTATATGTTACTATGGCAAAGTGTGTGTGACATTTGAGGTTTCGGTATGTCTCTGTTAGTATTCGTTTGTTCATTTACAGTCTTTCTAGATTTGTGTTGATATTAAAAATGTCGATATGAAGTGTTTTCTTGGAAGGAGTTCTTATGGAGTGATCTACCTTTGACTGTAATATTTCTAAATCGTTCGAACGTTGATTTTTACTTAATAGCTAGTGAATATAATTCACTTTGGATAAGCAAGGTTTGTGATTCGATGTCCACAGAGTTGGTTGAGTTTAAATTGCAAGTGAGTCAGCGTTGATGTACTTTTGCGCGGTAAAATCGTGATTTCGAGTGACGTGGAGTATGTTGGCAATTTCTCTGTGGATGTTCGTCTCTGACTGCTTTGGTCAGTCGGCGTTTTCTTTTATATGTTTTGAAAGTCCAAAATCGGCTCAAAGAAGTTTTGGTGCAGTTTCGTTTTACACGTGAAACCTTCGGATTATTGTGTCGTTAACCAATGAGATTTGTTGATTCGCCTAGTACGGTTTTTATTGGTTGAAGTTTTCCGTACGTAGGCGTAAGATATAGACTGTTCTGTTACTAGGGGTGATAGGTAGGAAAAGGACGAGTCTACAAAATAATATTTTATTCTACATTTGTTTATATCCGCTTGCATCGATGGCATTGTGTTTAAAAAATATAAAAATAAAACAAACTTATTTATAGTCACGCCTTTTCAATGTACATTTGTACCTTTGTTTGAATAAGCATTATATCGTAGAAGTAACAGTTTTCCACAAATAAAAAAATTAAAGCTTTTTGTTTCTCCGTATCCCTTCCAAAACTACACTTAAACTTTTGACTCATAACAGGCAATCCGCTGAAAGAGGCGACCAATTATCGTTTGAATCCTGATCACAAGAAATCACTTGTTATATAGGCATTTATTTATCCTTTTGTATATTTACATTTTAGAAGTATTTTAAACATTTAGCAACAATTGCAATATGTGTATGCAGCAGAAGCCTTCAAGTTAAAGTCCGGTGGCTTCTCTGGTCTGTGAATCTGTGAACGCCGCTTGGCTATTTTTGCCATGTCTTACTTCCGGTGATTGGCGATGGAATAATGCAAGAAAACGTAAACAAATGACTTTAACTCGGTTGCGTCAACTCCTTCACCGTCAATTATTTTGGGAAAAACGTTTCATTTTCAGACAATTTTTTTTATTTGTTTTTAACATAGTAACTAAGAAATCGAGGCGCCTTGAAGTACCAGAGCGGACAAATGGACTTGTTTCAGGCCCAGAAGGGCATAAAAAGAATAAAGATCGACGTATAAACACGTCTGTATTCTTTTTGATCGTTTATGGGACGTGTTTATTCGTTTGTGCCTGAAATAGACGCTTTCGGATAAAACATGTATACACGTCTACGTCGTAGAAGGGGTTAATTATTCTCCATTTATCAGTGCAGTTGTAATATAGGGGGCGCAGAAAAGGAACAATGGGGAAAAAAACTTAAGAACGACTACATGACTGTAACAAACAATTTCCGTCATACAAAGTTCGTCTCGAAGACCCAATTCGTTAATGGCGTTAGTTTGACTCTGAAAGTTTGATTCTCATAAGAAATCCAACTTAATAGTGGCCTTGCTTTGGAGTAATCACCAGCCGATTAGTCGATCTGACTATTACTACTTTACAATGAGTTTGATTTTCACTTAGTGCTTCAACTTAGGTCTTCTGTCAGACTAAGCTATATTTTTTAAACACCAATAACACTTATTTCGTGAAATAGTGCAGTAAAGTTAAATTCTTTGTTTTACCAAACTTCATAGCAAAGGCTCGTAAGCCATTGTTTTTTTAGTCCATTTCTCACTAGGTACTTCATGAAAACGAGATTCCTTAACAGTTAACAACATGCAAAAATAGAATTGGTGAGTCGGGTTCAAATCCCCGTTAAGTCAGTTTGTATTCAGTTTGCATTAATAACCTTGGGAGAAACATGAATCCATCTATCTTCCCAGTCCAACTGTAGGCTAAATAGCCGAGTAGCTTGGAATCTTCAGCCATGCCTGCCAACCAATGTAGGAGAAGGGCAACTCTAAGTTCAAAACAGTAGAGAAGGTGATCGTCAACCATTCCACTATCTTTCCCAAAAAACAATCATAAAATCGCATAGTTTCCAAATATAAAAAAATGAAGCTGTGGAGAATGTCTGGTGTCTGGAATTAACTCACCTATGGCCTTTTCATCTGGGCCTTCGTTTGATTGGAAATTGGTAAAGTTCAAAGGTACAACCAATGAAGTGTTGGGCGCGATTTCATAGCTCAGACTTAAGTTGCTGTTCATAAAAGAAGCCGTGATGTTCACTTGGGTGATGTTGAGCACCTGAGGGACGATTTCAACGCTCACGTCACATTTGGCCGTCTCGACCGGGTATGGAATCAGGAATCGCGTCCCACAAGTGTCCGGTTCTGAAGAAATTGGAAGAGAAAAAGAAAGAAGAGAGAAAAGACTCATTGATAAGAATTTTATAGGTATAAACAACAACAACGAATTTTATAGATATAAAAAAAAAACAACAGCAGTAATACTAATGATACTACTATTACTGAGAATAATACTAATGGTACTATTAATAGTAATATTAATGACTAGCAGTAGAGCCCGACGTTGCGCGGGGATATAACAGTAAGAGATAGATCAAGTATCGACCATCATAAAGACTAAAAAATAAAATTGACAAAGATTATTGTTTAAGGTTGACGGACACGCATGTCTTAATTATTTTTTTATTTTTTTTTTTTTTTACGAATTGGTCAAACCCAAACTCAGACAAAAACATTGTTTTCAATTGTTATGAGTCTATCGATTGAACAGAATTTTATTATAAGCAATTGTCTTGTAAATGGAATTTTTAGAGCATTCTGAATGTAAAAATAAAGTGAAGTTTTGTTGAAATCGGTTGAAAAATGTAGGAAATCCGATCCAATATATAAACAAACAGACACACATACAACCTGGGTTTTATAATAAGTATGATACTACTACTAGTAATAGTACTAGTGAGAGGATTTGGCGATGCACGTCATTACTAAATGTACAAACCAGAATCTGCCTTAGGGAACACAAAATTTAAAATCCTTTGTAACTTTAAACGAATCAAAAACCAATCCAGGCCAAATGACCAGATCCAGTCAAGATTCTGGATGTCGGCGTTCAATCGGATGACGAAGGAAAATAGAAAGCTAGAAAATATTTGAATATTTCAGAGAAATAGAGATTTATATAAGGTAGAGTTGTGCCTTTCATTATCAGAGTACTTAGTATAGTCTCGAAGACAATTCCCAAAAAGTAAAAATCCAAGGAAGAATAAAATCCACGAAAACAATAGTCCTGCGAGTAACATTTGGAATACTGGGGAGAGTGCTGCATTAAAGAAGAGGCTTGCTGTCACTTTATCTCCTGCAACAAATGTATACATCTTATGTGAACATGCGAATACACAAACAACAATAACATTAATAATAATAATGGTAATATAAAAAATGAAAGTGACATAGTTGTTGGAACGGTTTCAAAGAGTTAAGCAAAAAGACCTGAAGATCTGAGGAACAAGTAAAAATATCCAGATTACAACATTACTAAGAACGGCAGGAATACTGCTGGAGAAATTTGCTGCCAATTAGTCCCCAATGATAGCCAGCAGACATCGAGTGCGAAGATGTCGTTGATTGATTGATTCGTTTTTTACGACTTATCAACTCTTTGTATGCTATTTAAAGCAAGGAAATATTTTTAGATTGTAAGAATTTTGTTTTTTGTTATATAATAATGGTTTAGTGATACTAATAAGAATTTGATAAAAACACAAGAAATTATAATGTGGATGTAAAGTGGGGGATCAATTCTATATTAAAGTCAATATATAAACTGATCACTCATTTTGTAACCACGGTAATTTTTATAGATTTATATTCCAGAGAATGTAAAAAAATCTAAAAGACCTGCCTGTGTAGCTAATCAGCTAAGATTGATTCATTTTCTACGGTTTATCAACCATTTGGAGGTTATTTAAAACAAGAAAATCTTATTAGATTGTAAGACATTTTTTAGACATAATGGTTTCGAGATAATCTTACTAATTAACCCATAGATGGAGGAGAAGGGTGGATTTATTGTAGAACTAGCCGAGGTACCCGGCGTTGCCCGGGTGTACATGGCTGCAATTTTATAACCGCTCCCCGCCTGTATACCCACACCTCCTATCTAAAAATATCTGCCTGCGTCCCTGCATCATCCTTTGGTATACTAAGCTACTCCCCGCTCATCCTTTTTACGGTATGTCATTCCCAACTGTTTGATTGTTCTTAATAAAGGAATTCTATCGATAAAACCTCCTTGTGCGATGGTTTCTCGGGGTTAAATTGTTTCAATGTTTTAGATATTCAGTAAATTTCCTATGGCCGTAATAACTTTCAAATAGTATGACATTGTTCACAAATAAAAAAAAACCCCAAAAAACCAGAGATGAAACGTCAACTGCAATTGCAAACGCATGAACGCCTCCTCCTTCTTCGCACGTTTACTTTAAAGCTGTGGTTAATAAAAGGTTTTTCGGGAATTTTTCCCTTTTAATGCGTCAATAATCCTTCTCGAACAATCTTTCTCAAACAAAAGTCAATTTTGGACCTAGTTTGTCGCAGATTTCATCCAATTTGTGTGTCATATGTAAATTATATGGCAAATTTTGAAAGCGTCTGATGAAAAACCAGTGAGTTATGGCTGAAAAATGGATTTTTGAACAGTTTTCTGTGGTTTTTCGTTATAAACCAAACATGTCACACGACACTAGATTTGAACACAGATCATATGTAATTTACATGATCCAAATTTAGATCACGCGTTATTGGAAGACGTCTGGCAGTAGTATTGTTCAACAGAAAATAAGGTATTTGCGAGCAAAGTTTTTTCATTACGGAGTAACGAGTATTCGTTGACATCACAAAACGCAGGGAAGTGAGCAGAACTAAAACCACACTATCTTAGTCTTTGCATGATGGCAAATTTTTGTGACATGCTTGAAGAAAATCGGATAAAAATGAGGAAGTTATTCAAGTTTTTATTTTAAGTATTACGAATAACCCAGTTTTTTCACTGTTTAATGCAATTTTTGTGTGTGAAGCCAATGTCGCAGGAAAACTATCACCCCCTCTAACTTAAACCTCGTAATATGAGTTATGTTTTGTATTAAGCTCATCCAGTAAAAATTTTGTTCGCGTGTAACTTTGCCTTGATTTTTGAAAATCGTCGTACCCAGCTTCAGTTTTATTAATTTTTCTGCCAAACCTGATGAGTCTGGATATTAAAAAGTTGGTCTTGACATACCTTGCAACAATGTGTACAAATCATTGAAATTGGTCAAGAAAATGGATGTGCATAAACACATACATACAAAGATCTGTTTTATAGACATCATCTGTTTTTATATATAGATTATCAAAAATAAATTTTATCTGTAATAAAAACAGAAAACAAATTCAAAATGTTTAGATTTCAGTATTAAATAAAAAACATGTTAAAAGTTCTTCTGAAAATCATCCAATGGAAAACTTGAAAGAACATGTTTAATGACATTAAAATTTATTAATAATCTATCAAGCAGAAATATAAATAAAATAAAATTCCAAAATTATAAAAAAATAGAACAAAATAAAAATGTGAAATAAAAGAAAATCACATGTAATTATAAAAACAAACGTGAAGAAACAAAAGTAGATTCAAATTCATGTATAAACTTCATTTGTTTATTACAAAAGCAATTCCCATTGAAAATGAAAAACTTTGCTTTCAATTCATCATTTAATCATGCTTATGAAGAAACAAATCGCTGTATTTAAGATATTTTTAGTCTTAAAAGATCAGTTTTAAAGAATTTTCATTAGAGACTCATTTACTTCTTGTGTTGGTAACAATTTTAACCTGAAAATGGTAAAAAAAAACAATAAAATATAAAAAAATTCTAAACAAAAAAAAAAAAATGGTATAAAATGGACAAGTTGAGACTTTTCAGAATGGTTAAATAAAAATTATTTTTAAATACGACCTGGAGTTCTCAGGGAATAATCATAATGATCATACTGTCGTCTATAAAGTTCAAATCTGATGACTAACATCTTCTCCATAAAGATCTTTGATTTTTCCTTTTTCATGGGATTGCAAATACTGAATCCGGACATTTTAATTGAGCTAATCAACCGAAAAAATCAATATCTTTCCATATTAAATATAAAAAAACGTTTTAAAATTAATTATATAACATTTTTTAATGATCAGAAGTTTATCTAAACTAATTTATTTGCTGGCATATATTAAATGTATGAATTCAATTTTTATAGTAATTTTTTTTTTTTTTTTAAATTCAGGCGGTACAAATAAAATGGTTATAATTTAACAAAGATGAAGAGTGTTTGACGAGCCAACTTTGTTGGCTGATTAATTTCTAATTTATTCACTTGAAAATAGAAAATAAAATTTAAGAAATAAAAATACATTTTCTCCTGAGGAAAAAAAAATTATGAAATGAACATTTTATTTTTCTAACATAACAAGGTTATTGAAAAATCTGCATCTTAGTGAAAATCACCAATGGCTTAAAATTATGAAAATGGACCTTCAAGAAAATGAAAAAATTCAAGAAACATGATAATCATTATTTACATTGGTTTTGAGAGACAGTGTAATGAACAATGAGAATGAAATGAAACAAACCAAATTTTAACGAAATATTATTTTCCTTATTGGGTCATTTATTCCAAAACCAAACAGGACATTTTATTTTGGGAAATTTTTATTCTTAAAAATTTATCTGCTAAATTTTTTCTAAAATATTTTTTATATAGAAGATCAATTTAATATTTTAAATTTATTTTCATCTTTCTCAGACTGCTAGGGTGCTATATTTGTTATATCTTATTTTCTTTCAATTGCTTTTCATAAGAAATAAAAAGACCATAATGAATAAAATTTGAGAAATTTAAATTTGCTATTATAACAATTTTTTTAAGTGTAATATTCAATAAACCATTTGTCCATTTTTAGATATTTTATTGTCATGATATGGTCCTGTGTCCCTGCTAAAATTGAGAAATAAAATTTATAAAAAAAATTAAAAACATTTTAAAAATAAAACAAACAACCTTTCCCAATAAAAAATAAATACAAGTGTGTTTTTAAACAAAATAATTCATGGAAATTGTTCGGATGAGTTCTTCGTGGCCCATAGGGGCTTTATTTTTTTAGACTGGCTTTTGCATTTTCAACTTAAGTTGAGCTGCAAAGCCTTTTCTATGGTCAGTTTCTTTAGCATCTTTTGTGATGGAACTTTCTTAATAATCCATGCATTTTTAATCCTAAATTTGCAAAAATACAAAATAAAAAAAAAAATTTGCTTTGCAATAAAAAACATCAAATC